ACACACACACACACACACACACACACACACACACACACACTCAGCAAACATTTTTTAAAAGTTGATTTGAAAGATGTAGATGAACTAATAGCTTTCCGTGGCTTCATTCTTGATGGAGAAAAATGGAAAGATGAAAGATTTCTTGATATTTCAAGCACTGCTTTAAGCCCAGTGATGCTGGCGGGTATGGTAAAATCAGTCTAATACAGGCCTGAATATGCTGGTCACAGACGGCATAAGAGTATGCTCAGTACAAAGGCAAGAAACTGCAGAGAAGCAAAACGACCAAACACATACCTTCCTTTACACTATGGGGAATATGGCTTTTGTCAGAATCAGCTTCTGTGGAACCAAAACAAACGATAAATACAGTGTGTATTAGAAATATTATGCTTAGGTGGCTTTACATATTTTAGGGAAAAGAAATGACTGAAACTTGATCATAAGGAAAGTTGATTATAGAATAAAAATTAAAACAAAGAACTAAAATCTACGACAGTACTCATATAGACTATTGTTCCACTCCTTCTCTAATCCAAATTGATAATCTAACAAGGTGTTTTTCAAATGGCAGTTATTTCCGAGCTTGGTAGTATTAAGATGAGATAAACATTCCTCCGTCCACCCTCAAAAAAAAAAAGAAAAAGAAAAGCAAGGAAACGAATGGCAAACAATAACTGCCACTGTTTGTTTCAGACTTGGCACGTAAAGAAGAAGAAGAATCCAGGTGGAGTTTGCCTGGGGTCATAAATTAAATTAGTGCGAAAATGGCCACCAAAGTTTGGCGACTTCCCAAAGCTTGAGTGTCCTTGGAAAAATTGACCGGAGTTTGACTTTATTAAATAAGTGTGTTTATGGCCACCAAAGTTTGGCGACTTTCCAAAGCTTGAGTGTCCTTGGAAAAATTGACCCAAGTTTGACTTTATTAAATAAGTGTGTTTATGGCCACCAAAGTTTGGCGACTTTCCAAAGCTTGAGTGCCCTTGGAAAGACTGACCTGTGTTTGACTGATGCATCATGATGTTGCTGCCTGGGTGGATCGTTCCGTTACTGGTCAAACCGCCAACGATGACTCCGCCCCCTCCCCCTCCCGGGCCACTCCCTGGGCCTGTTCCTCCTTCGTCCCCACCACCTCCGCCATCACCTCCCATGCCAGACCCTCCCATCCCTCCATCTCCGAAGTCGTATCCGTCAAGTGGAATCCGCTTCCTCTTCTTGCTGGCAATGTTGTCCTTATCTGTAAAACATTACGGTACTTACATATGAACATTCATATTATATATATATTATATTTAAGTGGGTTTGTGTGAAAATATAAAGAGTCCACGGGAAAAAAGGGGAATAGTCACAAACTGGAAATTGTGAGGGTGTCAATTTTAAAAGCTTGTGGACTCATAACTTCATATTTGTTTGATAGGTAGTTTATTGATATGTTTGTCGAATGGAAAATCTAACAACGATAACCAACAGTTTAACAGATATACAGTTATGAGTCAGAAAGAGTTCAAAATTGTGTCGCGACATGGCAGAATCAGGCACTCGTCAGTTCTTGGGCATATGGAGTTATTGGTATCATCTTAAAGCTTGTTCCTTTGACTATATTTTGATAACAAAAATTAAAGGCTATCTTGAACAGAAGTTGACCAGATATTTGCGACTGAAGCAGGTCGGGGCCGCTTGGTTTCAGAGGTAAAATTACTGAGAAAATGGCCGCCAAAGTTTGGGGATTTCCAAAGCTTAAAAGTCCTTGGAAAATTAAAATGTTCATTTGTCGTGCCTTTAATCCTTGTTTTTCAGTAAAATCTACACAGAAATGTTTTTAAATGGACATAAAAGGTGTTGAGCTAAAAAAAGAAAAATTAGGAACAAATTGTCAAACTGGTGGAAAAGTGCCTGTTTCTTTAATTTCCTTATTTTGACGAGCGCCGGATTTCACCACGATGCCTCTCAATTTTCAGTTTGAGACTATTTCCGTTTTCCCATGGACTCCTCTCATGTGTCATGAGACAAATTTTTCAGGCTCTCCTCAGTCTTGGGCAAATGGAGTATATGGGATAATCTTTAAGCTTGTTCATTTTTCTTGCTTATCTTGAAAAACCGTCGAAAACTTGGAATGAAGGAGGTGGGGTTCACCTGGCGTCAGAGATTAATTTAGTGAGAAAATGGCCACCAAAGTATAGTGACTTCAGGAGCTTGAGTGTCCTTAGAAACTGTGAATTTACATTTTTTGTGTGCCTTTTATCAACATTTTTCAACAAATTCCTGAAAGCACATAAAAGCGGTTGAGCCCACAAAAAAAATTCGATAAATATTTCCCAATGATCTGAAAAATATTAGTCTCTTAGATTTTATCATTTTGACAAGCGCCTGATTTCATGCTAATAACATTTATAAATATTTACAACACTAAAACACTAAAAATATACATATATATATGAAAAAAGTGTTCGTACAAAATCCATTGCAGTTACATTTACAAAATTTTAAATCACAGTAAGACCAAAAGAAGTACACATCAAGCTACTAATAAGCTTTTTCTTTGTTGACATCTATGAACATCCATTTCTCTACAAAAATAAACAAAAAGTTACTAAAACCAAAATTTCCCCTAAAAAAATAACATAAAAGTCTGTTTCTTCTTTTCTCTATATCAAATTTTCATTTACTTCTGTGGGTTTTTTTTGGTTCTTTTTAAAACTTTGTATATAGGTGTTTTTACGCTCCCCCCAAAATCAACCCAATCTAAATCATTTATGAGACGGTCTCCGATCTTGCCTGTCAGAGCTAACCTGGGCCGAGAGGGACACAGCATCTCAGTCAGCAGAAAAGCCAAGATGCTCGAAATACTTGACAGCTTCACCACAAAGGCCAATTTACTTCTATAAATGTACAGCAAGGAACACACTGCATACTCACCTCTGTTCTGTGGAAAGTAAGTAAATGCCTTGGGCTCACTGACTTCTTGATCAGATTTCCTCTGAAGCATAATGAGAACATTGACAGCTTTGTCGATATTGGTGTTGTAATACGCAGGAGTCTTGAACACAATGGCATACTGGAACCAAAAAAAAGGAGACAATATTATCACTAGCTTCAAGGAAACAGAATATTGAAACTGGTTTTATGTCATGTTCATGGAAACAGTTAACTCAGTGAAATAAGTTCAAAAGTGTTTACATTCCATCTTCACCGATTCTGATACTTACTGAAAAAGATTTTCATTATTTTGAAAGCACAGGTGAGAGACGAAAAATTTTCTTAATTACCCTTTATACGATTCTGTTCTTTTTCCATTTTGTCTTGTTCTTATAGAAGGAAAACCTATACACCTTCAATAATGTCATTTAAAATGTCCTTTTTTCCTCATGCAGATGGTTCAATTTCAGTTGCTTTCACTTTGAAAAAAAGAAAGAACGAGAGTGATGTTTCCTTCATCCTTGTTTTTCCCTCAAATTTTTGACTTTCTCAGTTTCATTTTTTTTATGAATCTGCTGTTGGTTCCAGGATGGCTTTGCATGTAAAGACAAAGTAAAACCTAAAAAGATGCTGTACCCTGCATGGTATAATTTCTTGAATTGACATCTTGGAATAGAAAGTGAGCTGTATGTGGCATACCACTGATGACACAAGGGTTGTTAAATGTACACAATATTTTCTCCAGCTTTTGGAAGGGATTAATTCTGCATTTTTCCTGCACAAATGGCCTGAGAGAGGGTGCTCTCTCCCGACCTTCAAAGGCCATAGGGTCTTTCTTTTTAACGTCCAAAATCACACAGGACTTCCAACTTTCTGTCCATATATAACAAGATTTTGGGTTGTATCCCATCAACCCTTGAACCAGGACCTTGAAAATCTTGCAGGGAAAAAGTGCAAGAAGCCCACAGACAATACTGCATGAACTGGGAATTGAACAAGGAGCTGTGGCAAGAGACGCTATCACATTTATTATATTCTAAAGAGACGCTTATTATTTCCTAAACCAAACACCTCTTTCTCACCTGTCTATGGACGTCTAACGGCCCGAAATTGCCGTAGGCTTCCCATCGGACGCTTCCATCTGGAGCCTGCTCCACAAACCTCACTTGAATGTCATCTGCTCAGGGGGGAAAAAAAGCATGCATGTTGTTATCGATCCACAGACATAAATTTGTCCTACAAGGATTAATATGCCTAAGTTTATCCTGCAAAGATAAATTTGCCTACTGTTGAGTACTCCAGTCTCAGACCATGAAAAAACTGACAATTTCTGGCTTATAATATGACATAAAAAAACAATGAACAATTAACTGGTATGTGCCCTTCTCGTTCAAACTTCATTCAGATAAGGTCAACCTTTCCTAAAATAAAACATAAATGTCCCCGACAAAACTTGATTCAGAAAAACGTCCAGTATAAAATTTTATTTTGTTGGAAGTTTTTCAGCTCACTTTTTAAAAATCTTAGTGTCAAGTCTAGTACAAACATCATATCAGACCAATTAAACAAAGTCTGCTTATGAGCCATTCCATCAAAAGTGACGCATGTAACGTGGAGATGATGGCCTACTAAAAAACATCAAGCACTGATATAGCCATTCATTACACTTTTTGGGGGGTAAAATGCAGCCTCCCTCTAACAACAAAAAAAGAAGAAAAATGGCACTATCATTTCTTTGATATTTTTTCAGCAGGTTATAATCCCTGTTGTACATGTGTCACTTGTCATGGAATGGCCTTTTACCTGTTGACTGTCAATTAATACTTATGTTCTACTCTTCTAGTTTTTGTGAAAATGCTAAAGTTAGCAAGCAACACGTAGAAGAGATATTCATTAACTCTTTGAACCCTGTCAGACGCTGGGAACATTTGGCGGTAATAACCCTGTTCCCCACCAGACGCTGGGAGCGTCCAGGAAGAGTGACAACTGTTTCGTTTTATTTTGTGCTAGTTTTAGCTTGTTTTTCGGAACTATTCATGAACCAAGTTTTTTAGTAATGACTAAGCCTTTGTTTCCACCATTTAGAAGTTGGAGGCAAACTTTTCGGGTTATAATGAGACATAGTGCTCTCGGTTTAGGTGACTGTAGACAAAAACTCTGGGAAACGGTAGAAAAAACTCAGGGCTTAAAGAATTAAGCCTCTTTCAATTGACATCACATCGTACCTTTCTGGACCTTCTCACAAAGCAGAAAAACTTCCTCGTTGCCCGAGCAGCATCCTCCATACTTGTCCATGCGACATATTTTTAAGGCTGAAGCTCCGGGGGACTCTGTTAGAAACACACAAAAAGATAAAAAGGGACTATTTCTGGGTATTCTAAGAATTAAGTGGCAGGATAGAAAAGGAAATGAAGAGCTGTGGGAAAGGACAGGACAAAAGGATATAGAAGTAGAAATAGGACTAAGAAAGTGGCGATGGATGGGACACGCCTTAAGAAAGCCCAGTGGAAACATCACAAGACAGTCACTGCAGTGGAACCCACAAGGAGCACAAAGCAGGGGTAGGCCACAGGAAACATGGAGGAGATGCGTGGAAAGGGACATGAGAGAGATGAAGCTCACTTGGAACGAGCTTGGAAGGATGGCTCAGGACAGAGATAAATAGAAGAAGCTTGTATGTGGCCTATACCCTGTCAGGGGTGAAAGGCACTGATGATGATGATTTCTGGGTACGGCTGTGTGAGTGAGTTGTACCTCAATGTAATGAATGCATTTCTGTGTTATGCTGAATCTTTGTATGTTCATATTCTGGGGTATCCACCCACAATTTCCCTCTTAGATCAATAAAGCTATCTTATCTCATCGATCTCATTTGCCAGGCGCAGATGGAAATGAAACGAACACTAAAAACAAGTTGAGTATTGAAAGTTGGAGAATATTTTAAGTTGCAATACAGAGACTGGAAATTCAGTCTGGAAGAAACAAGTAACATACAAAAGGAATAGTTTACACCTAAAGCTCTAGCATGCACACTATTCTTTGACTTCACTATCAAGCAAAAAAAAACAACAACCACTAAACAAAGTGGAGGAGAAAAACTCAAAATTTTTAATGGGTAGTAAAACTTGAAACTTAACTTACATCACAAACAATCAATAATCACATTGAAAATACAAGTATCAAGCGGTGTTTTACAACATACTTTCATTTTGTTCCGGCATTTCCTTCCTAGTTTATAATGGAAAATAAGCAACTGTAAATGTCAAAAGTTCTACTGATTTGGGACTTTTTAATATAAATAAAATCTAATAACTTGACTTGGGCACATTTGAGGAATGGTGCTGACTGTCCGTATGTTAACATGTATGTAGAATCTATTTTCTTTCCTTTCTTTTGCATTTTCCGATATGATTACCACTACCCTAACAGTGTTGTCTCTAAAAAGAACTTGCTGTGTCTAGCAAGGCTTTAAACTCACACACAGAAAAAAAAACCCAACTAAATGAATAAAATAAAAGAGCAAATTCTGCAAAAAAAAAATAGTAAATTGGTCAAATCACCAATACCGAATAGCTAGAAGTAAACATTCTCCTGTGTGTTTACTCTAAGACTAACGGCTAATTTCAAAATCCAAAATGCAGCACACTTTTTTGTTCTTACTAAACACAAAAGCACCAGATGATAGAATTGGGCAGGATTTTTTTTTGTTTTTATTGCTAGAAGAAACAAAAAACAAACTTACTGCTATCATAGATGGGTTGGGAGGCCACGGGAGTGAGCATTTTACTGAAGGAACCGTCGGGATTTCGGAGAAACACTTGAAAGCACAACCGCACCACATTCAGCTGCATGTTCTTAGATTGCTCATCTGCTTGTGATCTTGCCAGTCGCCGATCCTCATCTGTGACACAAAGTAAATTTTAATTGTACAGCGTTAATTTTTTAAATAAACTTAACTCTATTCCAACGCATGGCAAAGTTTCCATGTAATGTACAGTAAGACTTGCCCTGTTGGCCTCCTGTTCAAGACAACCACCTGTACAAATAACCACTTCTAAACCCCCCCACCCCCACCCCCACCTACCTGTGTCTTTTTTTTCTACATTGCAATGACAGTCCAAAATATTTGCTTGTCTCAGACAGCCACTATTTTCTTCAACAATGGGATGCTGTCTTAGACTATTCAGACTGTGTGTTTTTTCTTACCCTAATATATTCTGTATTATCCACCCTTGTAAAGCAAGGTTAAACAGACACTTCCAAGCAATACAGATTGAGTCTGTTCGCTGTCAAATAAAAAGGGAGTGTGACGCATATCTCAGTGCCAGCCATGGCATTCTGCACTTCAGGGAAGGGAAATCAGGTGCACACAATCTTTAATACAAAAAGTTTTCAAAGATTCTTGACATCTTGAATCAGCTATGAGAACAACATGCAAGGAGATAGAAATCTACTCTGCAAACTTTATTCAGTATTTGATGTTAGACGTCTTCAATGACGTACATAAAGCCATATAAATGATAAAGAACTATGTTGCTCCTACCAAGGAAACAATAAGTCAGAGGAGCCAACTGACTATGAATAAAAATCCTAAACTTTTCAGACCCCTTAGAAAAAAGTGTGCTGGGAGTGAAAATTTAAGGATCATATTGTCTATAAAAACATGTATCAAAACAATTTTGATATAAAAAGCAATGACAAGTACAATGAGACTATTTTTATAATATAAATTAATATATTATGAGCAGGATCTTATTACAAAATCTGGACAGTTTCAGAAATCCAGATTTCCCCATTAAAATCAGCACCTCTTATAAATTATCAAACTCACACAAAAGCACACCATCCGCGGTAGCCATAAATCTTTGAACAAGAACCATGAAAAAGAACCTAGAACAAGAACCAATGCATCTTGATCCTCTACAGACCCACATCCCAAAAACCACCAACCTTGAAGCTGACAATGCCTGAAATACATCAACATTTTCTAGAGAATGAGTTTGCTCACCACTCAATCACTGCGTTCACTGATCACGTTAGAAATAACACAGAAACTGTCAGATGTTTCTTACCAGTGATCGGAGGTTCAAAGTTCATGTTGTTCTCTTTCAGCTTTTTATTCAGCTTGATGGCATCCAGAATCCGTCCTGTGAGGACATCTATCAATTTCTTTCGAGTCACGTGTAAGATACACAGATTGGGGAAACTGAAAATATGAATGAAAAATGTATAATCCACTAAGAAAATTGAGACATTTGAACAAACCATAAGCTCGATTGTAGGCAAAAAAAATAAAATTTAGCGCAAATAAGAAAAACGAAGAATAGAAATGTGTTCAGTCGTAAAGCATTCATGTTTAAAATCCTCTGTAGCATCAAGTCAATATTTTCATCTGAATTAGTCATTTCTCTCAGCCTCTCCATAACAAAGTGAGGAGTTAAAAGCAGAGGTGCTGACTGGCTGCAAAAAAACAAAAAGTCTGAAACTTGTCGCCTCACACAGAAATGCGTATTTATGGACTCATAATTTACAGATCATTTGTTTAATACATCTAATGTCAAAACTATTTTTATTTCTAATAGTAATAGTAATATGAGGACAATTTCAGATATTTGGATGTTGTTTTAATCCAAAAAAACTATTACCCCTGTAAATGGTGTAAAAAGAGATATATGTGAGGCAGCGTGGTGGAATCAGGCTCTCGTCAATTTTTGGGCATGTAGAGTTATTGGTATCATCTTAAAGCTTGTTCACTGGTCTTCATTTGGATGAAAAAAATCTCAATTTATCTTGAATGCAAGTCGAGATATTTGTGAATGAAGGAGATGGGAGTCACCTGTTTTCACAGGTAAAATAAGTGAGAAAATGGCCGCCAAAGATTAGTTATTTCCTTAGCTTAAGAGTCCGTGGTAACTGAAAATTTACGTTTTTTGTGTCTTTAATCAACGTTTTAAAGAAAAGTTCTTTAATGGGCATGAAAAGTGTTGAGCCAAAAAACAAAAATTTGATAAAAATTCACAAACCTGCAGAAAAATGCAAGTTTCTTCACTTGGATTATTTTGACGAAAGCCTGATTCCACCACGCTGCCTCACATATTTCTTAATACCACTTTACCTGTATGTCAACACTGATGCATAAAAAGGAGAAAAGGCACTTCATCCTTGAGCGGGAAAACAAAAGTAACACCTTGTCAGTATCATAAAGGGGCACTGGCCACTGACTCGAAATAATTTAATCTCTGGCAAATTAATGACATGCACACTTCAACCATCACTTGAAGTCAAATTAATTAATCTAAAGGTTTTTCCCAAGAAGCCACGGAGCAGTGTACTGATGAAGCGACAACAGGAATATATAACTTCCAGTGACTTCCTTTAGGAGATCACAAGAGGCACTGATTTTAAGTCCATGACAAGTTTTTTTTAAGAAACTCACATGATAGGGTCTGTGTTTGCCTTGATTTCCACTGTGCATAGCCCGTCCTTGCAGTTCGTTCCCACAAGCTTATGAGCATGGGCTCGAGGACTTTTTTCATCTGTTACTAAACTAACAACAACCCTTGCTGCCCCAGTGTAGTTTTCAATCTGTAAATGAATAAAAATGTTCACGAAGATGATAGAAAAATATACATTTAAAAAATCAAGATGTCCACAGAAAACACATCTGGGTGCAATTATTGTATGCCTTTCCAGAATGCATAACTAAAAAGAAAGAGCTTGAGCATTTTATCTCAATCCAAAAGTAACTGATTCGACAACTAATGAGGGATCAGATTTATTGACCGTTATTACGAGAGTCATTATTTCGGTTGATTCTCGATTATATTTCAGCTATATAATGGGTAATTCCCTCAATCTCGTTTGACGTGACCAGGCATAAGTTGGCTAGCTTTATTCATACTGATATACTGACAAAGCAATATAACTTAATTAACGCCCTACCCTTTGCTAGGTACCCAAAACTCAAAATTTAGTAACATGAATTCACTTTTTACAGCCATATAATTTACATATAAAGCATCAAAATGCACTTTGAATACGACCATTGGCACTACGTTCTTCCATCTAGAAAAGCAAAAGCAGAGTTTCAAAAATTACTGTATAAAGTATAAAAGCTTGACAGGCAGAAACACTGAACAGACGACAAAAAGAAAATGCTGCATGAGAGTGCCCACCAATTAAATACACAGTACTGTAAGCAATACAAAAATAGAAACCTTTATAGCTGGGTAGGATTTCTTGCTTCTTTCACTCTTAGTGCCTTGCAGTCCACCATGACTAGGACCTTCGCATTCGTAACGGAAGCGGAAACCTCTTTGCTGGGGTTGTTCCGAGATCACGACACAAGGCTGGTCCTTGGCAGCAGCTGAGTTTGAAGTAAAAGAAACAAAAAAAAGAGTATATGACCATCAATTTGATCTTTAAAAAGTAACAAAAGTCAATTAAGTAAGTTATACTGCAGTTCTGGTCATGTATAATTATATTGTATGGACTTAAGCCTTTTGATTTTTTGACAGACAATCTTAATCTTAGAGCAGTATGGATGATACAGCTTTGCCTAAGCAATTGTCATAAAGAAAGTAGAATGCCCAAGTGCCACTTCTGAAAAGAATTTGACTTCCTTGATATGCTCCAAAGGAGAGACCTCATCAACACATTTAGAATCAAGGAAGGTGTGAAGGAGGTCTTACTGTTTTACATGTATGATAGGGACATTTATCATAGTGGAGAATTTATTATTTTTAAAATTTTTCTAAGGTGGCAGCCTATGGCCTACTCTTTTTTATGGCTTTCAACTACCAAGGGATCTCAATGTGCTGAACATGCACACAGGTCCTTCCAGATTTATTTGTCTTTATCTGACAAGACAAGGTGCTTAATCTTACCAGCTTTAACTTCTGGAGAGTGGAGGAAGAAGATTAAGTGAATGAGTAAGTAAGTTGTGGTCTTTTTAGGTCCTTTTTGGACAAGAAAGAGATGATTAGATGAAGAAGAGGTAGAGGGGACAAAGAAGAGGAGAAAGAAGAAGTAGAAGAGAAAATTGGACTTGCTTGTATGAACAGGGTTCAAACCCAGTACCTTTGGTATGAAAGGCGAGCAGCGGGCCTCCAGCCCACATTTCAGATTTCCTTAATTTTATGTTAGCATACAAAAACTGAGCTACATGAACTGAGTACCAAACAAAGGTTTCTATTCATAAAAACTGCAATACAAAGAAAAAAAACACTGTCAAAACAATCACAAACTACCATTAGTTCCAACTGTACCGCCAGACACGGTTTTCACCTCTCCATTCATGGAAGGGGAGATGATATAGGCAGGACTGATCACATTTTTAGCTTGCAGTTCAACTGGCAAAGCACTTTCTTTCAGTTGATTTGCCATTCTTGGGGCAAATCCAAAAAGATTTTCTGAAAATAGAAAAAAAAAAAATTTGTTTTATATATATAACAAATCATGAACATTATTAAGTTTTTTTAAAAAAAGGTTTGAATGGTCAAAGCTGCACTCCTTACGCATTATCCCAGGGTCATTCAAATGCTCCTTGCTGTATCTGATTGAACAGTCTGTGTGCAAAGCATGCCAAAAGTTTGACACCACCACAAGAAGAAAGATGACACCCATCTCAAACAACTCACTGCTCCATCTCTGCAAGAGCACTCCAACTTAAGCAGTTGACGTAGCGTAATTCTCTCATTATGAATTTGTTGAGAATTTGTGGTCAACATTAGGGATGGGCAGGTACCAGTACCCAGTACCGGAACTCCCGGTTCTATTGAAGGAGGTGTCAGTACCGACACCTGGCCTCCAGTACCGGCTCTGGGAAGGAGCCGACGCGACGGTTGTTTTTTTCTTACCGGACAACGGGAAGTGTGCAGTGTGTAGGTCTAGGCCTAACAGCTGGGGCGTCAGATGCACACAACGCAGCGGGTGACCTTCATATCGGACTTCAGTTTCAAAGTTGACAATCAAAAACGAAGTTTGCTTAAATTTATAATATAAAATATGGCTTCAAATCAGGTTCCACGCAAGCCACTTTGCTTAAATTTTGATACGCTGATTCCGAAAATGAAATCAATTTTTAGCAGCGATAACTATTTTTAAAATTCTGCTTGCAAAGTTTAATCCCACGCGGCGGCAAACTTCAAAGGTATTTTCCGTCACAGTTCGCCTCTCCAATTCTGACTGGTGTGTGTGGGGGGGGGGGAAGGTGCGGGCGGCGCTGATCGTGGCGTTAGACGCAAGACTTGAAGTCTGTGACGTCACCTACTGGTGTCACTCCCAGTACCGGTACCGGTGCCGATACTGGCGGTTAGGTGCCGAGAAAGTACCGAGACTGGATTTCGCCGGTACCGCCCACCACTAGTCAACATGTTTTTTTTAAGTAGGCCCCCTATAGGGCCTACTAAAATACTTAAATTATCCTTTTTAGTCCTTGTAGAATGACAGTGAAAACTTTAATTTTCAGGACTGCTTATATATCATTTGTGAGACCAGTCAATAAAGTCAATATTCAATAATAGATAGGCCTAGATGACATAATTAAGCAGAAAAAAGGCCATTTGAAATAGGCTGGTCTCCCAAAAAGTATTTGTGAGCTTCCCAGTAAGTAGCCAGAAACCTTATTATACACGAACAGAGAGTTTAAGCGCAGCATCTGCAGTCTGTGACTGTGAACCACCTAGCTAGGCTGCTGGACACCTATTTATATCGACATATATGATTGCAACGAGTTCGAAGCTCAGCTCGGTCTGTATATCCTTGGGAAAGGCACTTAATGCAAATTTTACCATTTGGATCGGCCCTGTCAGAGGCGGATATTAAACAGCCTCCATAGAGTCCCCACCTCAGAAATAATCTTACCATTGCAAGGAGTGTTATAAATGTATCATGTGTGCCTCGTAGACAGACAGATCGATGTCTTTCTGTGAACCTAGACTAGACAAGACTTTGACTAGCCTTGATCTCCTAAATTAGACTCTAGAAATTAGAAAGATTTTATTACTCAAACTTTATGTTGACATATTGTACTCTAGATTCTAGTTAGATTTTCTAACCGAATTGCAGTACTGGAGTAGTTGTGGCCCCACCAGTGCAACTAGGCCTGAGTAGTGCAATGAGTCTTGAGTAGTGTGTGTGTGGGTTGGGCCCTTGGTTCAGGCCAGGCCCTAACGCTACTGTCACTGTACCGTAAAAAACGTCCAATTTCAAAACTAATTTACCTGTCAGTTAGACATATGTGAAACACTCAGCTTTAAGACCAAAGCAAATGGTGTGTTTTTGAAGGAGACAGCGCTGATGGCTGGGTATCAGCTGTACACGACAAGAATAGGAAATAGCTTAGCTCGTAGGCCTAGCCTAAACAGGAACTTCTTTGCACAGGTTTCTGTACGGTGCACTTTAGGGAAATTCCCCTCTTGGCCGAATCGTGTTTCTTGATTGGAGAGTTAAGGTCACATGTCCACTATCAAGACATCTGATTGGTTTGGGCTTTGACTCTGTGTCTATTTTCAGAACCGCGTGCTTAAAAATAATCATCAATATTGTTGTAGGTTTTCCAAGGGAAGTTAACATGAAATAATAAGCGTCCAAGTGGGATAACCACAGGTCTCAATGTTTACGTTACTACACGTATTATATAACCTACCAATAGGTCTATGTATGGCCTGCCGTTTTGTACAATGCTTGCATGAGGGCTGAAAATTCTGAAATGGAAAAAGGTTTTCGAAGTTGTACCAGAGACACTAAAATATATTTTAGTGTCTCTGGTTGTACCAGATACGAGATAATACGTAATAAAAGCATGACAGCAGTATTATAATTTAATGTTTTCCGATTATTTAAATTTTTATAATTATCTTGCCTCCTCTTGTCTCTTTCTCCTTTTCC